GCCGCCGGACCGGAGGAAACGCCTGTGCAAGGGATGGGTAAAAGGGAGGGTACACGGACAGAGGAAAAGAGAAGACAAGGAAGGTGAGAGACAAACACATTAAACACAAATTAAACTATAGAAAAACTGCATTCAACGCACTCAGCATGAAAGGAACCTAAGTGGGGTTTAGGCAAGCAAGGACGCTTCATGAGGTGCTCCCTCAAGTATCCAGGATATGTTCATAGTCCCGGTACTCAGTAGCGAAAAACTGTCTAGTGCAAAGACATAGCAACAAGGCTCTAGGCCAATTTGTTATAGCTTGACCTTGTAAGCCAACTGTCCACCCGTGATGCGGGACTTCTGTTGATGCCTATGACCACTCCAGCCGTCTGGCCTTCCGGCTGTGGTCCATTGCCGTCAACACAAGTTACTGCCCTGTATGGCACCACCAACCACCGTGACCTGAGTAAGTGGCCCACCGGACCCCAGCCCCAAGGGTCCCCCCTGCACTAGTGTCATCCACTCCGCAGCCATCACTCTCCCCGTTTTCCCGGGACCAAGTCAGTAGGCGGAATCGCAGTGGACCCCCCACATTTGGCTCCTCCTATACCATACCCCCAGCAATGCAGAAGGGTATCACCCGCTGTCTGGGGAGAGTAGCAACCGCAGAGCAGGATAGGCCCGAACCAGTGCTGTTATCATCGGGAACCATCACGAAACTATTGGCCAAATATAGGGAATCATATTGGAGCTTCGGGTATACCTGTTGAGGAAAAGGGTTAAGGTAAACCAACTCAGAGAAGGGGGATCAAAATATTGTGACATACCCCTCCGGATTCGTTGGCTGTAGGGCCTCTGGTATCCACTGGAGAGGCTCTCCTGGATCTGAAGCGTGAACAGCCCAGCGTGGTCGTTGAGGACGAGGAGTCTAGAGTAGATGTGGGTCGTGAGGCCGCCGGGACCAGCAGCCAATCGGGCACCTCTATGGGATCAGTTTCCAGAAAGGCGAAGAGCTCGGGTAGTTGTTCAGGCGTCATCAGGGCGAAGGTAGATCCAGCCTTCTGAATGAGTAAATGGAAAGGGTGCCCCCACTTGTAGGACGCCCCCATGGAGGAGATCCGTTCGAGGAGTGGGCGTATCAGGCGTCGGAGGAATAGAGTATGTCTAGAGAGATCAGGTAGAATAGTAATTACCGCTCCATCGAATTCCACGGACTTCTTGATCCACTGTCTCATAATGTCTTCCTTTTGGACGTAAAAATGGATGCGACACATAGGGCTGCAACAACTAATCGACAATCGATTATAATCGATTATTGGAAAAGTTGTCAACTTTTTCAATCATCGATTAATCGGCTTCCGATTGGTTGGCCCTGTTCACGGCTCCACACGCTGCGCGCCACACTCCCTCCCCACCTCACGCTCGCTGCTGCCAGACCTGCCCGGCCGCATCCACACGCCGCACCTCCTAGCACTCACCGCCCGCCCACATCCACGATCGGCACATGGACGCGGGGAGAAAAAGTAAGGAGGAGCAGGTGTGGGGGGATGACAGGCCCGATCTCAGAAACAAGTTGCTGGAAAACTGCTCAGGTAAGCCTGCATTTTCCCCCCACATGGTTCTCTATAATGTATTGCTGGGATAGTGGGATTAGTATTCCTCTATAGCTGATGGTACATTCTGCTGTACTGTATATTATACAGAGCAATATACCATCAGCTATAGAGGAATACAAATCCCAGAAATACATTTTTATGTATAAATGTACTATTGCTGGGATTTGTTGTATTCCTATAAAGCTGGTGGTATTATGCATTGCGCTGTATAGAGGTCTACAAAACCCAGCAATAGCACATTATA